GATCCTTTCTTTTGATATGTTAAGAAGATGTTAAGCCCATGTGACACATTCTTCACTCCTAATATTGTATTTTTCATATCTGGAATTTCTTTTTTTTTTTAAGTTTATTTTTTATTTATTTTGAGAGAGAAATGGAGAGCAAGTGGATGAGGGGCAGAGAGAGAGAGGGAGACAGAGAATCCCAAGCAGGCTCCTCACTGTCAACACAGAGCCTGATGTGGGGCTTGAACTCATGACCTGTGAGATCATGACCTGGGCTGAAACCAAGAGTCAGATGCTTAAGAAACAGCCACCCAGGTGCCCCTTCATTTCTAGAATTTCTATTTGGTTCCTTGGTAGAGTTTCCATGACTCTGCTAAAAATCCCCATCTTTAGATGCATGATGTCCACCTTTATCATTAGATCCTCTAGCATTCTTCTTTTCATAGTTATCTTTAAATCCCTATCTGATAATTCAACCATCTGGATTATCTCTGGGTCTCTTTCTACTGTCTATTTTTCCTCTCCTGACATTTGGCCACATTTTCTTGCTTTTTCTTGTGTTTTGTAATTTTTTTATGATAAGACAGACATTCTGTATAAAAATACATTAATGATTGAGGTAAGTAATATTCTACTTCTAGAAAGAGACATTACCCTTCTGTCAGGCCACTGGAATGACCGACCTCATATGTAATTAATCTGGGCCTGGGCTTTGATGCAGCTTTAGTTTGATGTAGTCTATCACTGGCTTCAAATATTTAGAAGGTAGGAATCAGGACTTTCTATAGAGCAGGGCCTGGGATCCAGGCCCAGGTAGGATTTCAGAGAGCTGCCTGTGCTTCATGGCTAAGCCACGGGCTTTCAAAACCGTGGGAGTGCTTTGTGTGTACACTGTGACTGAACAATTTGAGTAAACAGATAGCAGATGGTGTGAATCAGGCTTCTCACTACTGGAGTAAGAGTTTACAGATAAACAAGGGGAGGAATTTAGAATGATCTATGTGACAATGGATTTGAGCTGGATATGTCAATATGAATTCATGTGTACATATACGGATTAGGATATACACATATACTTCCTGGCTCTGTCAGCCAGGAAGCAACAAGCACATCTAACACCTAGCTCTTGGTTTCTCCATTCTCCAATTACAGGAACCAGGGCTCCCTGGAGAAATGGCTGACTCTAGGACCGTGGCAGGAAATACAGAAGATAAAAGTGGAGCATCAGCAGTGCCAAAAAATTTTTAAAAAGTGCTCACACACTCACACACAAACACACACACACACACACACACACTGATGAGGGTATGTCAAAGAAGCGTATGAGCCAATTGAAACAGCTTCCAAAGGCCAAAGGTGGAACAATTTCACCAACAAAATAAACAAAGTAGTAATTGGATTATAACCTCAAGTATAAAATAAATATCCATGAGTCCATACTGTTAAAGGATGATTGAACAAATAAATGAGGGGAAAAGAGACAAATTTCCTGCACAGGAGAACTCCAAATAATTTACACAGATACCCCACCCTTAAGGACAGGGATCGTTAACTACCCACTTCTTAAGTGTGGGCTTTGCATAAATGACTTCCTTCCACAGAGTACTGTATGGAAAGAGAGAGAGAGAAAAAAAAGGAGTAACTTTACAGTGGCGAAACCTAAAAGACCACAAGTTCAAGCCCAAATCAATACCAGTAAGTCATGTACCCTTAAAACAATGTGATGAAAAATGGCAATTAATCTCTGTGGTCTTCCTCCCCAAAACCTAAAACCCCATTCTAATCGTGAGAAAAAATAGAGGAACATTTTACAGAATGTCTCGATACTCCTCAAAACTGTCAACGTCATCAAAATCAAGGGAAGTTGAGAAATTGCCATAGCCCAGAGGAGCCTAAGAAACATGAAAACTAAATGTGAGTTGGAACCCTAGATGGGATGTTGGAATAGAAAGAGGACATTAGGTGAAGTCAAAGAACATGTGAATAAAGTATGGATATTAGTTAAAAATAACATATCAATATTAGTTCATTACTTATAGCAAATACACCATACTACTATAGGTGTTAATGATAGGGGAACTTTCTGTACTCCCTTTGTGATTTTTCCATAAAACTATTCCAAAAAATAAAGTTAATATTATTTTTTGAGTTTATTTATTTATTTTGAGAGAGAGCGAGCCAGAGGGCACAAGTGGGGAAGGGGTAGAGAGAAGGAGAGACACAATCCCAAGCAGACTCCACACCATCAGCACAGAGCCTGATGCAGGGCTCGAACCTACAAACCACAAAGAACATGATCTGAGCTGAGATCAAGAGTCAGATGCTTACCCGACTTAGCCACCCAGGCACCTCTAAAGCTCATTGTAAAAAAATGAAAAAAGAGATTGGGAACTCATTCTCTGCTTTAAGCACGGCTGCCAGGTTTTTCCATTTGCTAGGGACTCTTCTTTACTTTCCAGTCCCATACCTTGCTTTCTGTAGCACATGTCATCTCTCTCAATCCTGTTCTTCCCCCTCAGCCTTCCTTTTGGAGGGTAGCTTCTGATGTTGTGTGAAATCCTGGCATGAATTAGAGGAGTTTCTCTCACCTCTCCTGCCCTGTCCCCATTCCTCAGAGCCTGGAAGCATTGACTTTTCCATTAGATCAGTTCCAGAGTGTGGGGGGAGGTCATCTCCAGCTGTTTCCCTGCTTTCAGCCCTCCATAACTGAACCTGGGGTGCTTCTGGGGAGCTTCTCTCAGCTCTCCAGGTCAACCCCCCGCTTGCTGAGGGTGGTTGCTATGCACTTGGGGGGGGGAGTTCTGTGGGCCTCAGGTAGGGTCTCTGTCATCTCCACTTCCTTGGCCCAGGGGTGTGGCTCATAACCCCCGACTCCCACCCCGAGCATTCCGGAAAGACCTGTGGGTGACCACTAGGGCCGGGTGCAGACTTGCTCTTTGGTACAGAGTCAGGGCTCCTCAGGATCCTAGTCAATTACACTAGCCCACATGGGGCCACAACAAGCCTGCAAAACGTGTGGCTGGTTTCTCCTCTCCCTTCATCTGTGGCATGTTCCTATTCTGTGGGCTATTCTATCCCAGAGCAGCTGTGGGTTTCTTCCCTACTGTGAAGCTTTCATTACTTTCTTTTTTCTATTTATTTATTTATTTATTTATTTATTTATTTATTTAATAGTTTATTGTCAAGTTGGTTTCCATATAACACCCAGTGCTCATCCCAGCAAGTGCCCTCCTCCATGGCCATCAAGAGTCTCTCCCTCCCTCTCCCCAACTATTTTCTCCCCTTCTCCTTCCCCATGGTCCTCTGTTAAGTTTCTCCTGTTCCACTTACAAGTGAAAACATATGGTATCTGTCCTTCTCTGCCTGACTTATTTCGCTCAGCATAACAGCTTTCATTACTTTCTGAAGTTTGGTTCATTTTGTGTTCCTTGTATCTTCATTCTCTTTCAACTGAGTCAGCCAGGCACCTCCAAAATATAATCCTTTTTAAAAGAGACCTTGGGAATTAAACTTAGGGAAATTTACCAGAAAGAAGAGAGAATAAAACAGATGACGATAAAAATAAATAAGAAAATTGGAGGTCCAGTAGAGATAATTTAATATCTGTATGGTAGAAGCTCTAGAGGAAAAAAATTAATGAAATAATTCAAGAAAACGTCCCCAAGTTAACTAATGTAAGTTTCCTAACTGAAAATAAAGAATGCCGTCTATTGTCGTACCACCCTGAACACACCCGATCTCGTCTGAAAACACAGAATGCACAGCATGATAGATTAAAAAAATACATCTATACAAAAGCCTATCTTTCTGAAATGTCAAAGTAGTAGAAACAAAGAGAAAATCCTACAAGCTTCCCAAGATGGAAAAATAGGTTACAGCGAATGAGGAGTTAATGATTTCAAACTTTCAACAGCCAGAGCGTAAGCTAGAAGATGGTGGAACAAAATCATCAAAATTCTGAAAGAAAGTGATTCCAGTCTGAGGATTATACACAGCCAAACTATTAATCAAGGCTGGGAGAAAAATAAGGCCCTTCCAGACATCAAGGTATCAAGTAATATGCTCCTATTCCCTTTCTTCAGCAAAATGTGGCAGCGAACTGGGAAAGAAGACAACACAGGAGAGAAGAAATAGAAGATCCAACACAAAAGAAAAGAGAACCCCTGGAATAATAGAAGGGCCCTCAGAAAACAGACACTACTCCACACAAGAGCACTGTGCCCTGGGAGGGACTTCTTCAGGATGACAACACTAATAGAATAAATGATGTAGAGAAAACAGGAATTTGGGGCAATTGGTAGGAACTTTTGAGTTGAGTTAGTGATAACAATGACCCAGAAATTCCTATAAACAAGTTATCCTCTCAACTGAAAATTCAGGTAATATCAGTATGTCAAAGATATTACTTAAAAACCCACAGGTAAATCCCAAACAGCTAAGAGTTGAGAATAGCTACCTCTGAGAAGGGGAATGAGGAGGGGACTAGGAATTCCGGTTTGAACAATGCCTAGCAAATTACTTAATTTGCTGAACTGTATAACCTTGGGGAAAAAATTACATAAAAGAATATGGAAGATGGGGAAAGAGTATAGAAAACCCACCCTGACAACTAAATCTGACCTCTGGAAACAAAGAAGTCTAACAAAATTGTTCCATAAAGTAAAAAAAATGACAAGAACGAAAGAGTTTGAGGGGGGTGGAAAAAAGAGCAAGAAAGGAGTAACATTATTTCCATGCTACCACAACTCTGGTCCAATGCTTGGCATCAACAGCAGAAACCCACAGGTTTCTGGGCTCCAGGTTCCTAGCCTGTAAGGTGGGTGGAACAGTATCTCTCACAGGACCATTGGTAGGCTTAAATCAAGAGAATGAACATGAAGTGCTTATAGCGATGTTAGATATAAATATTATTAACACAGTTAATAATTCACTCTTCTTTAAATAACTAAAATTCTTTTTTTATATCAAATCAGCCAATTCAACTGTCACAATACTTAAGAGTTTACTTGAATGCTTACCTTGTCTACTCAAACATCAAGGCTTCCAACCTTTTCATGGATGTCTCCTAAAAAAGAGGGAGGTAGATAAACGGACTATTCAAGAGAAACAGAAATTGTTTAAAAAAATACTTATCACACTAAAGTATTGACTGTATCAGAAAAACTACTCAGGTCGCCATGCTTTATCTTACAGGTTTTTGTTGGTTATGATCAATCATTCACTCACTAAGCAAGTCAGCAATTAGAATTGAAAACTTTGTCCCAACTGTACATTAACTCAGTAATGCTGAAGCAAGAAGTTTTCCATTTCAAAATAAGCAAAGTCTCCAACTTATGCACAGATTGTCTTCACCAAGTTGAATTATACTTTGCTATAAAGCTTGAGAAGCATTTTTCCAAAGAAACAATATTATAAAGTTGAGACCCTGAGCAATCACTGAAGTCCATAAGTACCTACAAACCATAGAAAAAGAAATAGAACCACTTCTTTTGTGCTACCACAGCTAGTAGAAGAAATAGCTCTTATTTGAGATTAGACATTACATCACACATGCTTTCATACATGTCCTTTTAAACATAAACAATAGTAGCCACCTTCTCTCAGGAGCTTAAAATATTTACTTAATGAAAAAAAATATATATTTACTTAATGAATGAATACCTAGAATTAAGAGAATTACTTGAACCATACTCTTTCTATGGAGAAATGCATTCTAATTTCCAACCAAAGGAATATCTTCCTTTATCTTGGCAACAAGCCCAGTTTGAACATCAAGAATAATATAGTGTCAGCAGATATTCCATCGACATAATAGTCATTCCTCCTTAGAAATCATGTTTTGGTCAGAGATCACTCATATTATCGCTTAGTATATAAAAATCACTTGGGGCACCTGGGTGGCTCAGTCGGTTAAGCATCCAACTTCGGTTCAGGTCATGATCTCACAGTTTGTGAGTTAGAGCCCCATGTCGGTTCTGTGCTGACAGCTTGGAGCCTGAAGTCTGCTTCGGATTCTGTCTCCCTCTCTGTCTGCCCCTCCCCTACTCACACTCTCTCTCTCTCAAAAATAAAATAAACATTAAATTTTTTTTTGAAAATCACATTTTAAATTGGGTTTTCATTATAAAACTTGACCTTCAAAACTTCCCTGATTTCTTTCCCTTTTAATAGCAGCCATCAACATTTTATCTGGAAAGATTTTTTTCCCTAGTTCTACTGAGATTTAATTGACATACAACATTGTACTAGTTTAAGATATACAACATAATGATTTATGTACATATAGCGCAAAACGATCATAATTCTAGTTAACATCTATTACTATACAGTTACAATTTTTTTCTCATCACAAATATGATGAGAACATTTAAGATCTATTTTTCTCTTAACAACTTCCAAATATGCAATATTTTATTTTATTTATTTATTTATTTTTTAGAGAGAGAGCATGTATGAGCAGGAAAGGGAAAGAGCGAAAGAGAGAATCTTAAGCAGGCTCCACGCTAAGCACAGAGCCAGATATAGGCTCGCTCCATCTCACAACCCTGAGATCATGACTTGAGCTGAAATCGAGAGTTGGATGCTTAAGCGACTGAGCCCCCTCAGGTGCCCCTCAATACGGTATTGTTAAACTACAGTCACCATGTTGTATGTTACATCCCCAGAACTAATTTAGCTTATAATGGAAATTTGTACTTTTTGACCACCTTCACACATTTCCCCCGTACCCCATTCCCCACCTCTGGCAACTATAGATTGATTCTGTTTCTGGGCCTTTGGTTTTCTAGATTACACATGAAAATGAGATCGTACAGTATTTGTCTTTCACTTAGTATAATGCCTTCAGGTTCCATCCTTTTTCTTTCTTTCTTTCTTTCTTTCTTTCTTTCTTTCTTTCTTTCTTTTTTTGTGCAAACAGCATGATTCCCATGACTGAATATTCCGGTGTGTATGTGTGTGTCATATTTTCTTTATACACTCAGTCACTGATGAACACTTAGGTTGTTTCCATGTCTTCAGTATTGTAGATAATGCTGCAGGGAATAAGGGGGTACAGTAACTCTTTAAGAGAGTGATTTCATTTCTTTCAGATATATCCCCAGAAGTAAAATAACTAGATCATATGGTTGTTCTATTTTTAATTTTTTGAGGTAGATTTTTGATTTTCCATTTCTGTACTACTTCTAGTTGGTACAGAAGCTTATTAATCACAAACTTAATACCATGTTCCCCAAAAATACCAAAAAAAAACTTATTAGAGTCAATATTCAAACAAAAAGATCTGACTAAAACCCAGTATTTGTATAGCTCAAATGGAACTACTATTCTTTGATATTTCAGAAGCAAAATAAAGTTACCCAACACAATAATAAAAATTTTTAGGCACCAAAATAATTGCAAAAATAACTGAAAATTATAGGTTAAAATTATAGAATTTAGTAAACAACATATCCAATATCCACAATGATACTGATTTTCATAGTTTAAAACCTGAGAGAAATTCACTGTAAAAGAACTCCTTTAATTTTTCATTCCTCTAAGAAAAACAATTCAATCTCTAGACTATGCCCAAATAGGAATAAAGATTAATTTACCCTAGAGACAGTGAGCTCACTGCAAGCTTTTTGGAATGACTGATCATCACATTTCTTCTTCCAAACACAAAATTCATATATAGATTGTCACCTTAAATGAGATAAGGCATGAAAAGAGCATAAGCTCCGATCTAGTATCAGAAATTACTCCATGTTATTTCTCTTGAGTGCTCCTTCTGCTCTAAAATTCTAAACCCCCAATGAAACCAACTGACTTTTTTCTTTATAATGATTTCACTGTCTGTAAATGTACGAAGGCTATATAAATGTTGGTTAGAACGAATGCAGGACACTGAAGACTACTTGATACTGACTACTGACAATGACAGAAGCAGAGACACAAGTAATGTCATCAGCTGAGGAGACAAAAGCATCTCTAGACCACCTACTACATTAACACAATATCTTCAACTAAAGACTTTTAAGTGATGTCTATATGTGATAGTTTTGAAAAATATCTGTACATCCAAGAAAATTTAATCATATTAATTAAATCTATATTGACTTTTGTTTCAAGAATGTTTTCTATAAAAAAAGAGCAATGTTCAATGTCCCTGCATTGGAAACCTATGTAATAAAACATGAAACTCACTAAGGAAAAGCAGAGCAGGAACTACTTTTTAATATATCACTTTTAGAGGCCTATCATTCTATGAAAGTAAACATCATCAATTGCAAGCATATTCCAGACTTTTAGCTTCCCAGGTGCCCCAAGAAGATCCGTGTTTAAAGACGTCACAAGGCACAAAATTGGGATCGGAAATCAAACTGAGTCCATCAATACGTATTTAATTGGTGCTTACTGAGCCTCAGGGCTAGAAAAGCCACTTAGAATAGAATATTAGAGATCCTCCCACATACAGTTCAAACCACACCCATTTTCTTTTTGCTTAAGGAGTAAGTCATTGAGAAATTGAAAAATCCCCCATAGATTTTTTTCCTTGAACAGCTCTGTTTTAAATAACTATTCATGCTTTGGTTACATGTGTTAAGCACTGCCCCCTCAACTCAAAAGCTGACTGCCAGGAAAACTGAACAAACCTCTAGTAGCAAATGTAAACAGAAGCGATTCTGTCCTACAGGCATGAATTTGAACATAGTGCTGAAAAGGGAAATAGGCTTTGGAAAATATACTTCACATGTTCTGAAGGATGAATTAAAATAAACCCTTTAGCATTCTATGAAGCTTCTAAGGTCTATCAGCTTTTAAGTGACAACAGTGAAATTTCAAAAAGAACAGGATAAGTCAGCAGCAGAGCTGGTTTAACATTAATAATAAGTGATCTAATAAATAGGTCTATGTTTGCCCAGTCAGGCTTTGCTTATTATGTCAGTTGAAAAGCCGGAAGGAAACTGGTTTTAACTCCCATACAACCTGTATCAGGACAACATCACTTTATCAGAAATGTAGCTGATGTCAGCATAACATTGAGACAGTTCAAGTTTAAAAGTGACCTTTCTTTTCCAATTGCTTTTGCAGTTCATTCATGGTATAGAATTGAGGGCAAGCAACATTTACTGTGAGCTTTCTATGTACCAGACATTACATGAATCTTCTCATTAATTCTCACAGCCACCTTGCAAGATATTAACTTTGTCTTTTAGAGGAATAAACAGATGTTTTGAGAAGTAAAATTCTTTTCTAAGGCCACACAGCTTGCAGAGAGGCAGAGCCCAGGCTCAAACTCAGATGTTAGTTATCATGCTCTAGAGCACTAAAAAGCTGTTGGTTTCTTACCTTGTAAAGAAAATTTTATTAAAAAAAAACAAAACAAAACAGCAAGAGCAGAGATAGCAGAGTAAAATAGTGATTTGGATTACAAACTGCTTCAGTACCTCAAAAAGTAGTATAGAGAGATGTTGACCTTTTAAAAATTCCTGGGGAGGTCACTGTGAAAGAGAATATAAAATGCCTTAACGTTAAAATAATAGTCTTTTAATAACAGTTAAAAAATGACAAATAAATATAACACTGAATACTATCAATAGAGAACCAAGTTTAAAAAAAAAGGAAAAGGACTATTCTAAAACAACAGTGTTTAAGAGACTGGACCAGTGTAGGCTGGCTTAAGGGAGCACTTCCCAGCTAACTCCATGGAAAACTAATCCCTATAAAAATATGGAAAGATAATGAGTTCCCATTGTTAAACAAGCTTGAGAAATGCCAGACATAACACTAAGCCAGTCTTCTTTCAGTTTACAAATAATAAGTACAATGCAGTGCTTGAAAGTCCTCGGGAGCCAGTCTATCTGGGTTTGAGTCCTGGCTCTTCCACCGAGTAGGCCATGACAGTAGCTTTGCGCATGTTATTTCACCAATCTGGAATCAGTTTTCTCCTCTGTAAACAAAAGGAGGTAACTGCCGAAGACAGACCTGTTGTAAAGATTAATACTTGTGGGACTGTTAGAACAGAGCCTCAAAATGAGGCTAAAACAGAGCCTCAGAGTACTCAGTAAATGTTAAATTGTC